TGCATTTGATTGTTTCGCTAGCCAACATCCTAATTTATTTAATGTGCTTAAACCTTTTGCCGCCGCGACACCCGGGGCCAAAATCGCAACCGCAGCTATAGTGTCCCGGTTCCATAGGTCGACAGCATCATCACATTGTGAATTATAGGCATGTGCTCCGTGCTTACTGTGTGTCTTGAGAGTGCCCCTTCTGTGGTCTAGGATCATAGATGTGTTTGGCATTAGTAGAGTTAATCTTCCCAACGAACACGGCCCACCTTTAATATGAGAGGGAATGCCAGGCCAGGCCCGGTCTCCACATATTAAAAAGACCCCCCTGGGTAGCTTTATAGGCGCATTGGATGATTTAGATATATTGCCGCTTGTCTGGTTACACCACAGTGATTCATTCTTATAGATGTCCAGGGTAGCATTAACTGACCAGGCACGGGAAACATTTGCCCCTGAATAATTGAAATGCAAACACCAATCCATTTTTGTGGACCCTAATAGCTCAAGTTCCTGAGGTTCTATTGGTAATTGATTAAGATGCGGTAGGCATCCATCCCAATTGTTAATGGCGTTTCATCCCCCCCGCAGGCCTCCTTGAAAGGACTAGTCAGGCCCAAGTCCCAATTATCTAAAGGAAGCCCCACTAGGCAGGTGGAGCAGGGGTTGCCGGGGGAGGATATCGAGAGGCAGATGGAATCTTGTCCTGTCTGATTGGCCAGAGTCACCCAAACATTTTCCTTCGGCTGTGAGGGTACCCATAACGCAGCGACCACACACAGTGATACTAGCCACAAGATGCCCACCTGCCATGGCCCCATGGCTTACGTTCTCCTTTTGTTCCGTTTCCACCCAAATCGCTTGTCACACTGTCGTTTGGTACTCTCCCAGTCCGTTTCCCACACAGTCCACAGCTGGGGGATACAATGTGATCTCCCACACACTAGCTGCAGAATCCGTGGTTCGGCACTCCCAGTAATGTTCCCTTTGCACCTTGTACACCTTCCCGCCCGGAACTGAGAGTGACAATACCAGTTTCCCTCACAACTATTACATTTGCACAAAGTCCATGCGTGATGTGTTGACCCAGGGCACTGGAGGCAGGGAATCCCCGTCGCTTCTCGATTATTCAGCTGACTGTTCTCCACCGCCTGGTGTTCCCAGTCCACGGCCAATGGCAACCCACTGGAGCCCCTGTACACCCCGGCTCGGCCTGGCCCACTAAGTGGTTCTCCGAATATCGAGCGCGATACTTTATGTAAGTCCCAATAATTTACTTCAAACCATCGATGCATCCGTGGGCTCCTTGGGCTCCTTGTCCAGATACGGTCGAACGCAGCGGGTTGGGTATCCATCAGGGTCCACGATATTTGACATATCGTGGGACTGTTTTTCATGCCCTGAGGTAACACCGTCCAATGATATCGCAACCTAGGCCCTTGATGGTTTACAACTGGCAGTGAGAAGGCAAATCTGGGAGCATCTTCCGGTGCTAAGGGAATCGTGAAAAAGCAGTCTTTCAAATCGATAATCACAATGTCCCATTGACGGGGTATCAATGTTGGTGAAGGCATGCCTGGTTATAATGTCCCCATATCTTGAATTATGGCATTTACTTGCTGTAAATCATGTAGAAGTCTCCATTTTCCACTTTTCTTTTTTATAACAAACACTGGAGTGTTTCCGGGGCTGGTGGTGGGAACCAGGTGTCCTTGACTCACTTGCTCGTCCGCTAATCCACTAATGTTCGCAACGCGTCGGCCTTTTCCTGTGATAGGGGCCACTGATCCACCCATACCGGCTGGTCGGTGAGCCATGTGAGTCGAACAGTGGGCCGAGCGCCAGTGACCCCCTCTAAAAATGTTGATGCAGATCAGCAGTGCCAATCACTAGTCCCCAAGTGCTCAAGGCATCTCGTCCCCACAAGTTTAACGGCACAGGAACCACAAAAGGTCGAATGGTTGCAATCTGTCCTTCCGGGCTTACAATCTGTATTAAGTTGGCACTCTGCCTGGATGCTGACAGGCCTCCAATTCCCACTAGCCCTGTGTCGACCGAAATGGTTTCCCATGATTTAGGCCACTTTGCAGTACTAATGATAGTAACGTCTGCTCCTGTATCTATCATTCCTTTCACTACCAAGTGTTCCGGTTTGCCTCCTTTATTTTTTAGGGTGCAGGTCAAAGTGGGCTGAGTTCTTTGGACAAGTTGAGTCCAAAAAATATTTGGTTCACCTGTCGACCCAAATCCACCAGCCCCCCGGGAAATAGTATCCCAATTACGAACCATACTCATAAAAGGGACTAGCTGTGCAATCCTGCTTCCAGCTGGAATAAACACTGGGGGAGACGGGGTCCGTAGCAACGCTTGCACCTGTCCCGTATAATCAGAATCAATAACTCCAGGTAACACAAACAAACCCTGCATAGTAGCACTGGACCTCCCCACCAATAGGGCACTTAGCCCTTGGCCAAGGGGGCCCCTCACATTGAGGGGCACCCTATGTACAGTCTGATCGTTTATTGAGAGGTTGGTGGCTGTGGAGACATCCACTCCGGCACTCCCGAGGGTTCTGGCCTTGAGGTGATCCAGGCCTGCTGAGACAGCGGTTCCATGGGGCTTTGCGGTGGCATTGTGTCGGCGCGCGCCCCCGCCTCGCGCCCGACTTCCCGTTTCCCGACAAGGGTCGGCCGCTGAGATCATATTTCGACCGGCATTGATTAGCATAGTGCCTCCCCTTGCGGCAGCGCGGGCAAATACCAGGGGGCTGCTGAATTCCTTCCGATCCTCCCTTCTGTACAGGATTCTCAGGACATTGCCGTTTAAAATGCCCCGAGTTTCCACAGCGGAAACACGCTTTGTTACTG